ACGCTCGCTGTCGCGCTCTTCCTCCGCCCCCCGACACGCTCGCTGTCACTCGCTCGACTGTACTGGGCGAATTTATATTTGCAGATGCATTTTACTTTGTTCAAAAATCACACAGTTTATGGACAGTCAGTATGGTGTTTTATAAATTTCTACCTTAGAAATAAAACCAGTCCGACTCCACACTAATTCCACAGATTCTAAACAAGGCCTCACACCTAACATGCATTATCTGACTTAAAATGTCATCTCTTCTTTGCACTGATAAAGCCTTTAGTTTTCTCAGGACCGTAACTTGAAAGGAATTTGGAGATTGACATATACGTATTAATTAATTAAAACCTTCTAACTGATTAAAGATTTAACAGCATCTTAGGTTTCTATAGTACATCCTCATCAATAGTGTGAATCTTTGATTTTTTACTTATAAATTCTGTGTCTGATACTACCTCTCTCCCTAACACCTGAAGAAGGGCTGAGCCTCTGAAAGTTTGTGGTTTCAAATAAACCTGTTGGATTATAATCAGGTGTCATGTGATTTCTGACCTTGTCCACCCCAGTCCAACACGAGCACCTCCACATCATAGATTCTTCCAGACAGGGGAGTCCACGATTATCAGGATAAATGGGAAAATGGAATTCAAAAGCAACAGATGAGCCGTGATCGTATTGAATGGCAGAACAGGCTCAACTAGCTGAATGTTATACCTGTGCTCCTTTTTTGTATATTTGTTTATTCTTGTAATAAGCCTTGCTTAAATCACCTTCTTTTGCCCTGTGTACCAATTCATAGAATCAGATTTCCCCGCGGATTCGCTCTGTATCATCTCAGTCTGGTGTAATCTGCCCATGCACTGCTTATTATATTATGAATAAATGGTTTAAATGTTATAGCCTACATTGGACCACCTGTAATGCAAAGCAGTCAAATGATTTTTTTAAACAACCTGACTGTTTAAACCTTTTGTTTTAGTTGAAAGGTTAGTGGATTTTTGTAAGCTGCAGATAATGACTTTTAAGTAGATCTTTTCTGCCCTTCAAGAGGGATTTAAGACCCCAGTACAAGACAGAATGGAGTCTGTTTGAACTCGTTGCTGTCGATTAGCCCTGCTATAAAAAAAAGTTTCCTGCTGAATGATTTATCTTTCTCCGACAAAAAGTTTGGATCTGTGAAAAATGGGAATTGAGTTTACTTATAAGCACCATATTTAAAGGTTCTCACAATCTTCCAAGCTCTGCAAAAACCCCTCCCTCAAGTGCATAACTTTGACTGTAACATGTTTCCTTACGTATTGCTGGCGTGGATATAATGAATGATTTCCAATGTAAAATATCTTTGGAAACATTGTCTGTTCAACCTATTTCACACTAAATCTATTCACTCCATGAGCTAGATTATACATGTTAAATCAAGACGTTCTGCGTGGGCTTGACTGTCTTGTTGCTCCTGAATAGACTATTGGCAGGACATGTAATAAAATAATTGCATCCTTAAACACAAATAAGGTCATGGTTAGCGAATGAAAGCTGCCTAACCAAACCTTAAGTTTCGATAACACTCCCAAACATTATCTTAATTTTCTTTCATCTCAAATGTAGTGAACTGTCTTTTTATGCTACTGTTCATATTGTAGCTGAATTTCCTGATGATCCTAGTGCTGGTGTTCCTGTGACCGTGGAAGAGCTCGAAGCTCTGCTGTACAGACCTCAAGAAGGAGAGTGGGGAGAAGAATCAAGAGATGAAGAATGTGAGCGTATTATAAGGGGCATTGATGACCTTGTGACACTAGGTGGGTTCACAAACTGCATTTGTTTTCTGGAGATACATATTTGATACTTGATATAATCGCTGTTGCCAGTGCAATACCATTAATCTTCAGTAATACAGAAAATAACCTGAAAGGGATATTGTCATAGAGTCATATGGCTTGGAGCATAGAGCAGACCCTTCAGTCCAACAAATCTGCGCCAACCATGCTCCCAAACTGAACTAGTCCCACCTGCCTGCACTTAGTCCATATCCCTCTAAACCTTTCCTGTTCATAAACTTATCTAAATGTCTTTTATATGTTGTAACTGTACCTGCATCCACCACTTTCTCTGGCAGTTCATTCATTACACTCACTTTGTAAAAAAATTTGTCCCTCATATCCTTTTTAAATCTTTCTCCTCTCACCTTCAAAAATGCCCTGTAGTTTTGAACTCCCTCACCCAAGTGAAAAGACTGTTGTCATTCGCCTTATCTATGCTCCTCATGATTTTATAAATCTCAATTAGGTCAACCCTCAACCTCCTTTGCTCTAATGAAAAATTTCCCAGGCATTCCAGTCTCTCTCTATATCTCAAATGTCCTGGTAAATCTTTTCTGAATCCTCTCCAGTTTAATAATGACCTTCCTACAACAGTGGTGACCAGAAATGTGCACAGTACTCCAGAAGAGGCTTCACCGACGTCCTGTAGGTCTGAGCAATGAACTGCCACCTTAACTATCCTGTCTACCTGTAACAGAAATCTGAGTTCTGTACCTGAACCCCTAGATCATTCAGTTCTACATCACTACCCAGGGCCCTACCTTTAGTTGTGTAAGTGCTGCCCTTGCTTCTATTGCCAAAATGCTATACCTCCCATTTATCGAAATTAAACTCCATCTGCCACTCCTCAGCCCATTGACCCAATTGATTAAGATCTGTTTGTAATCTTAGATAACCTTCACTGTCCACTCGACCTCCAATTTTGGTATTGTCTGCAAACTTACTAACCATGCCTCCTATACGCTCACCCAAATCATTTTATGAATGACAGACAAAAATGCACCCAGTACCAATCCCTGTGGAACACTGCTGGTCACAGGCCTCCAGTCTGAAAAACAACCCTCTCCTCCACCTTCTGTTTCTTACCAGTAGGTCAATTTTGTATCCAACTGCAAGCTCACCCTGAATCCCATATGATTTAACTTTACTAATTAGTCTACCAGGTGGAACGTTGTCAAAGGCTTTACTAAACTCCATGTAAATAATGCTTACCACTCTGCCTTCAATCAGTCTTTTTGGTTACTTATTTAAAAACTCAGTCAAGTTTGTGAGACACGATTTTCCTCTCACAAAGCCATGCTGACTCTCCCTAATCAGTCCTTGCCTCTCCAAATACATATAAATGCTATCTTTCAGAATCACCTCTAACAACTTACCCACCACCAATGCCGGACTCTCAGGTCTACAGTTTCCAGGCTGCTGCTTGCCACCTTTCTTAAATAATGGCACAACATTAGCCTCGCTTCAGTCCTCCGGTACTTCATCTGTGTTTATTGATGATACAAATATTTCTGCTAGGGGCCCTGCAATTTCCTCCCTAACTTCCCACTTGTCATAGGATACACATGATCAGATCTTGGAGGTTTATCTACCTTTTATGACTTCTAAGTATTCTGTGGCTTCCATTTCTTTCTCCACAGTAAAACTGACGGGAAATATTCATTTAATGTCTCTCCCATCATCTTATTAATAGATATAGCAACTCCATTTAACGCTCCTGTGGATCTTCGTGCATATCCTGTATATTGTATGGTGGTTTCCTACCTTACAGACCTGAGCACCATTAGAATGAGACTGGTTAATAGATTTTACAGGTATGTGTGCTTTCTCCAAACAAATATAAATATGCTTGTTACCATAAATCATTAATTAAAATTAATTAAATTAATTAATCATTAAATATTTCAAAGTCACCTCTAGCTAACTATATGATTATGTTAAATGCAAGTAGATGTGTTTTAAGAAGGTTCTAAGGAATGAAAGTTTAAATATGGATGTGTATACAAGAAAAGGTAGGAAATTATATACATTTAGAACACAGAACAGCATGGCACAGGAATGGGCCCTTCGGCCCACGATGTTGTGCTGAACATGACGCAAATTAAACCAATCCCTTCTGCCTGCCCATGGTCCATATCCCTCCATTCCTTGCATATTCATCTGCTTATCTAAAAGTCCCTTAAATGCCCCTAACGTGTCTGCCTCCACCACCACCCCTTTCCAGACTCCTACCACACTGTGTGTAAAAAAAAAAAAAACACAGCAACAACTTGCCCCTCACATCTCCTTTGAACTTTTCCCCCTTTCACCTTAAATGCATGCCCCTAGTTTTAGACATTTCAACTCTGGATAAAAGATTCTGACTGTCAACCCTATCTATGCATGTCATAATTTTATAGACTTCTATCAAGTCTCCCCTCAGTCTCCGCTGCTCCAGAGAAATCAACCTGAGTTTTACTAGCCTTTCGTTATTACTCATACCCTCTAATCTAGGCAGCATCCTAGTAAACCTCTTCTGCACCCTCTCCAAAGCCTCCATGTCCTTCCTGTAATGTGGCGACCAGAATTGAATGCAGTACTCTAAGTTTGGCGTAACCAAAGTCTTATAAAGCTATAACATGATGTTCTGACTCTTGTACTCAATTCCCCGACCAATAAAGGCAAGCATGCCGTATGCCTTGTTTACTATCCCAACCACTGGGGTGACCTCTTTGAGGGAACTATGGACTTGAACCCCGAGATCCCTCTGCATATCAATGCTGTTTAGGGTCCTGCTATTAACTGGATACTTTTCCTTAACGTTTGATCTTCCAAAGTGCTGCACCTCACTTGCCTGGATTAAAATACATCTGCCATTTCTCAGACCATATCTGCAACAGATCTATATCACTGTATCATTCGACAACCTTCTACGCTGTCCACAGCTCCACTGATCTTTGTGCTGTCTGCAGACTTACTAACCCACCCATCTATGTTTTCATCCAAGTCATGTATCACAAACAGCAGAGGTTCCAGTATAAATCCCTGCAGAACACCACCAGTTATGGACGTTCATCCAGAAATACACCCTTCCACCACTACCCTCTTCCTTCTATGGGCAAGCCAATTCTGAATCCATGCTGCCAAGTCACCGTGGATCCCATGCATCTTTTGAATGAGTGTACTATGAGGGTCCTGGTTGAAAGCCTTATTAAAATCCATGTGTACAACATCCACTGCTCTACCCTCATCAATCACCTTCATTACCTCTTCGAAAAATTCACTCAAGTTAATAAGACATGACCTGCACTGCACAAAGTCATACTGACTGTCCCTAATTAGGCCATACTTTTCCAAATGTGTGTAAATCCTATCCCTATAGAACATAGAACATAGAACATTACAGCGCAGTACAGGCCCTTCGGCCCTCGATGTTGCGCCGACCTGTGAAACCAATCTGAAGCCCATCTAATCTAAACTATTCCATTATCATCCATATGTTTATCCAATGACCATTTAAATGCCCTTAAAGTGGGCGAGTCTACTACTTTTGCAGGCAGGGCATTCCACGCCCTTACTACTCTCTGAGTAAAGAACCTACCTCTGACATCTGTCCTATATCTATCACCCCTCAATTTAAAGCTATGTCCCCTTGTGCTAGCCACCACCATCCGAGGAAAAAGGCTCCCACTGTCCACCCTATCTAATCCTCTGATCATCTTGTATGTCTCTATCAAGTCACCTCTTAACCTTCTTCTCTCTAATGAAAACAGCCTCAAGACCCTCAGCCTTTCCTCATAAGACCTTCCCTCCATACCAGGCAACATCTCTCCAATAGCATTCCACCACTGATGTGAGACTCGCCAGTCCAAGATTATCCTTATTTCCCATCTTGAACAGAGGAGCAACATTAGCTACTTGCCAGTCCTCCGGGACCTCTCCAGTGGCTAGTGAGGATATAAAGATCTTGGTCAAGGCCCCAGTGATATCCTCTCCTGCCTCTCTGAATAACTTGGGGTAGATACTATTGGGCCCTGGGGATTTATCCACCTTAATGCACTTCAAGAGACCCAACACCACTTCTTTATTGATCTCAAAATGCCCTGGCATATTAGTATGCGCCACACAAATCCTCCATATCAATCTCTTCGGTGAATACCGACGCAAAGTACTCATTTAGGATCTCACCTACATCTTCTGCCTCCAAGTTCCCTCCTTTTATCCTTGAATGGTCCTACGTTCTCCCTAGCTATCCTCTTGTTTTTAATGTATGTATAGAATACCTTGGGATTCTCTCTAAGTTGACTTGCCAAGGTTATTTCATGGCCCCTGCTTGAGTTCTTTCCTGCTTTTTTATATTCTTCACAGGCCCTATCCAAATTTACCTTTCTCATATTTAGATATGCTTCTTTATTCCTTTTCACTAAATTTACAACCTCCCTTGCTATCCTTGTCCTTCCTCCTTCCTGGAACATACTGGTCCTGAACTCTGATCAGCAGGACTTTAAACAACTCCCACATGTCAAATGTGGACATCCCTGATAAGAGCTCCTCCCAATTAATACTCCTAGGTCCTACCTCATAGTGATGTAATTTGCCCTCCCCCAATTTAGTACCTTTCCGCGAGGTCTTGACTTAACCTTATTCATAGCTATCTTAAAACTTCAGGACTTGTGATCACTGTTTCCAAAACGCTCTCCCACTGAAAGGTCAGTCACCTGGCCAGGCTCATTAGCGAACACAATAGGCCCCTTCTCTAGTTGGACTATCCCCATATTGTTTTAAGAACCCCTCTTGCATGCACTTAACAAATTCTGCCCTGTCTAAGCCTCTTTCTCTAAAGCAGTCCCAGTCAATATTGGGGAAGTTGAAGTCCCTCAGTATGACAACCCTGTTGTTATTGCATCTTTCCATGATCTGCCTACATATTTGTTCCTCAATATCTCGGTAGCTGTTGGGGGCCTACGGTATAAATTGCATCCGAGGTATTTGAGCTTTATCCATATTGCCATATGCCTGCGGTATATCCTCCCTGACTGCAAGTGTGACATTCTCCTTGATTTGTAATGAAACTCCTCCACTTCTTTTACCTTCGTCTCTATCTTGTCTAAAACAACAAAACTGCGGAACATTGAGCAGCCAGTCCTGTCACTCTATCAACTAAGTCTTTGTAATGACACAGTATCATAGTCCCGTAAACCCATTTGTGTAACTATGATTCATTTTCATAAACTGAATGTGGTATATGTTTACATCTCTCCTGTTCACTTGTTTCTCTAGTCACAGGCTCTCCCAGAGGGGAAACAACCTTTCCGCATCTACCCTGTGAAGTCCGCTAAGAATTTTCAGTGTCTCAATAAGGTCACTTCTCAATCTTCTGAACTACAATGAGTACCAGCCCAATATAATTAAACTCTACTAAGAAGACAGTCCCACCATACTGGGGTCAACCTTGTGAACCTTCTCTGGACTCCCTCCAATGCCAGTTGATAAACTGTTCACGCTATCCCCACTGTGGTTGGACTAATACCTTGCATAGTTTTAGCAAGACTTGTCTAATTTTATACTCTGTTTCCTTTGAAATAAATGCCTGCATTCCATGTTTTCCCTGCTGAACTTAGATGCTCGTTTTTTGTGATTTATACAAGAGGACTCCCAAACCCTCTGTGCTGTAGCTTTCTAGAGCCTTTTTCAGTTGAAAAAGTATTTATCTCAAATATTGTTCCTGCCAAAGTGCATAACCTCACATTTTCCGATATTATGTACTTTTACAGACTTTGTGTCATCCTCACTACTTGGCTCCCCATCTATTGTTGTCATTTTCAAACTTAGATAGGATTCATTTTCCTCATCCAAGTCATTAATATTTCTTGTAAATAATTCAAATTGATTTAGTTTAGAATGGCATCATGGTTGACACAGACATAGAAGGTAACATCCTGATAAACCTCCTTTGCACCCTCTCCAATGGCTCCACATCCTTCCTATAATGTGGCAATCAGAACTGCATGATACTCCAAATGTGGCCTAGCTAAAGTTTTATACATCTGCGGCGTGACTTGCCAACCTTTATACTCCATGCCCTGTCTGATGAAAGCAAGAATGCTGTATGCTGCCTTTACCACCTTATCCACTTGTGTTGCCACTTTCAGGGAGCTAAAGACCTGCACCCAAGAACCCTATGTGTATCAGTGCCTCTTAGGGTCCTGCCATTCACTGTTTGCTTTACCTATGCATTTGATCTCCTGAAATGCATAACCTCACTCTTGTCCGGAATAAACTTCTCTGCTACTTCTCTGACCAACTTTTCAAGTGATCTATATTCTGCTGTATCCTTTGATAGCCTTCCTCATTATTCACAAGTCCATCATTTAACATCTAGTTCTGCCTTTCCTTGAGCCATGTCTCTATTACTGCCACAACAACATAGTTCCATATGGTAATCTGTACTTGTAAGTTGCAAATCTTATTAAACATACGCTGCGCATTCACATAAGTGCAGTATAGATCGGATTTAGACTGTTTATTTCTTCCTTTCTGCAACTCCACTTATTAATTTGGATAGAATTAGAACAGAGAATACTGTCTCTTCCAGTGTTTTGTGTACCCTTGTATTGCTCTCTAATATGTTTTCCTGATTCTTACCCCTCCTGAGTTAGTTTAAAAGCCTATCCATCAGCATTAACAAAATGCCCTTTGAAGAACTCAGTCCTGGCTCTATTTGAGTGAAGTTCATCTGGCTTGTGCAGGTGCCATGCCCCCCGCAGCCTGTTCTACTTTCCCAGGATTCTAAAGCCTTCTCTCCTGTACCATCTTTATAACCATGCATTCATCTGTCACTCCTTAACTAGTAATGCAACTCCCCCACCCCTTCAGCATCCATCTATCATTGTCTCAAACATCTAAACCTGGAAATGTTAAGCTGCCAGTCCTGCCCTTCAAGTTTCCATGGTTCCATGTACTAATTCAGGCTTCAAGCTCATCTGCTTTACCTGTTATGCTCCTTGCTTTAAAGTAAATACATTTCAGACTGCCAGTTTCGCCATGTTCATTAATCTGGACCTCCTTTGCACTTAGACTTACTTGACTTGATTTCTACCTTTTTCTCAATTACTCCACATGATGACCTACACTGTGGTTTCTACCCCACTGTCGCACTAGTTTTAAACCCTCCAAGTGGCACTAGTGAACCTCCCTGCAAGGATATTGATGCACCTTCAGTTTAGGTGCAACCCATCTTTATAGTACAGATCCCTCAACCTGGAAGTGATCCCAATGATCTAGATATCAGAAGATCTCCCTTCACCCAATCCCACACCAGCTCTTTAGCCATGTATTCAACCTTATTACTTTCCTATTTTTGGCCTGACCAGCATGTGGCACAGGGAGTAATCCCAAGATTATAGCCCTAGAGGTCCTGCTACTAGCTCCCTAAATTCCCTTTGTATCCCTTTTCCCCCATCTCTCTTTATGCCTATGTCATGCATACCAACATGGACTACGATCTCTGGCAACAGGCCATCCTAGAGTCTCTCAACCACAGAAATGCCTATCTGAGCTATAGAGTCCCCTTTTAATAACGCTTGCCTACATTTCAACACTCCCGACTGTACCACAGAACCAATCATGGAGACACTGGTCTGGCTGCTGCTGTTGCACAGTATCCAAAACAGTAAACTTGTTTGAAAGAAGAATAGCTAAGAGGCCTCCTGCTCTGCCTACCTGCCTGCCTGCCCCTCCAGTGGTCACCAATCTAGCAGAGGTTTCTCTTAGGTGAGATAGGGTTAGGAGAAGGAGAGGAAAAGATGGGTGAAAATTGCTGTCAGAATCACAGATAATTGTGTGTCTGAACTTGCTTGTTATCCCAGCAAATAAATAAATAAACTGGAAGACGCAATGCATATTGCTGTTGAAGTTGTATGCAAGACAAAACATCAGGATATTTCATAAGAATACCAATTCAAGGGAAAAGCCAAAATTTATACTGCATGAGAGGAAAGTGTTGATTGACAAGTGGACTCGAGTTGAAGCATTGACATGGTGGATGCACCCATTAATACTGATTGAGAGTTAAGAGCCAGGCTTCCTTTAAAAGGGAGGCGATGGCTCAGAGGCATTATCAATAGCTATTAATCCAGAGACCCAGGTAATTTTCTGGGGATATTGGTTCAAATCCTGCCATGGCAAATGGTGAAATTGGAATTTAATAAAAATCTGAGTATTAAGAGGCTGATGATGACCATGAAACTGTTTTCAATTGTTCCAAAGCCCACCTGGTTAACTAATGTCCTTTAGGGAAGGAAATCAGCCGTCCTTATCCGGTCTGGCTGAGATGTGACTCCAGACCCATAGTAATTTAGTTGACTCTCAGCTGTCCTCTGGGGAGTTAGTGGTGGGCAGTAAATACTGGCCTGGCCAGTGACGCCCATATCCCGTGAAATTTTTATTTAAAAATTCAAAACAAGGAAGTTGATTCTGATTGGTAGGGCATTATTCTGAGAAATGAGCCAGGGAATGGCTGTCATGTATTTTATTGAGTTAAAACAGATGTAATGCATATATATATTCTCTTTCAAACATGTATAAATGAAGGTTACGGGAGATGGTTTAATGCTGTACACACGATGTTTAGAAGCACTGAGGCATTCTTTGATTAAAAACCATTAAATTTATTAGTGGTTACTGCTGGTGCAAAATCTTAGTCACATTTGTGAAATAATTCAGTGGCTGTGGTTCTATATTGCTATCATGTGTATTAAAAGTATTTACAGTCTGATGTTTTTGCAATATATATTTGTAACTTTCAAAAAAAATTACTTTGCTGTAATGTTAAGTACCGAGATTTTGAAGCTGCCATCTGTATGCATTGTGTTCTAATTTGCAGGAGGATCAGTGCACTTGTATGGGAGGTGAGGTATATAGAACACAATGCAAGAACTTTCAATGAACCAGATAGTCCTATTGTTTCATCAGCCAGGCGAATCGCTGATCTGCTTCTCAAGTTCATTGAGTGAGTACGCATACATTTTTTTCTCAAAAGATAAAAGTTTAAGTTCTACCATAGGATATATGACATAGAATTCAATAATCTTGTGGTCTGGGGGCTAACCCCAGAAAAAAGTTCTGAAAACTGCTGATTGTCATTTTCTTAGGCAGTCTCTCAGGATCGAGGATGGCCTGCTTCCACTCCAGTTCAGTACGTTCTGAGATGGATGATAAGTCCAGTTTAGGATCTGCAGACTCTGCCATTTGTGGTGCTTGAAGGGTCGGGTAGATGAGTAGTTTGGAGGTTTGTGCTCTCTCTTGGATGCCTCAACTTCACCTTTCCTCACAATATGTTTGCCTTCCTGAATGAACCTTCACCATTTTGATCAGACTCAGGTCAACCGTCATTTATTGACAGGGAAGTTTGACCACTTGTGGGAACCTTTGTGATAATCCATAAAATGTTTTGTTCTCCTTCTGGGAGTCTCCTGCCAAACCTGAGCTTTGAGAAGAGTAGTTGCTTCAGGAATCTGGTGTGAGGCAAACAAAAACAGTCCTATCCAACCAAGTGTATCATTAGCACCTCAATGTGAGGCATGTTGGGTCCTATAAATTATATCCATGTCTGTTTAGTTTTCTGGAGGTGAGGTGTGCAGTATTGCAGAGAAGAAGGTGGTTGATGCAATAGTGCAGCATTTTTTTGACCCCAGTCTTCACTGAGATATAGGGTCCATGATGGTTCCATTGGTGATAATCTTAGTTGTTATGTCTTTGAAGAAGGTGGAAGAAGGTGATAAATTTCCATGGGGAATCAGATTTGTGGAAGATACTCTATAAACCTTCATGATTTACACTGAAAGGCTTTTAAGAGTTTGAAAATGTCTGTGAATAGTGATTGGTATTGTGTTTAGCATTTTTCTAGGATTCCCTGAGCAGTGTGCAAAAGCATGACTATAACACTGGAAGACAATCTTCAGCCACTCGGAGGGTGTGATTAATAGACTCCTTATGTGATTAATGAGCTTTTCTGTGGCAGTTATCTTTTCTGTAGTTATCATAATTGGACTCATTTCCCTTCCTCAAAGTAATCAACCTGAGATCTCCCAACACTCCCTGTCCTGCTGGTGAGGAATCTAATGTTGCACAGTCATACTTCATGTTTCAGAAATTCAGCAGGGAATCTACCTGATGCAGCGCCCTTGTTTTCTCGGCTTTGAGCGATTGTTTCAGCTATGCAGGTCATGATCGGGTATTGAAGAATGGAGTTGAGAGCGCTTAAATGACAGACTGAATCCTAGTTGAAGTATTTTCCAAAAGGTCCTGTTCAGTGACTGCTGGCACCTTCACCCTGAATGTTTTGAGCTCCCCTCAGCATGTTAGGCTCTTCAGCACTTAGGCTTTATGTAATCTCAACAGTGCTGAGGAAATCGTGCATATTTCACTGTGCAAGTTGGGGCATCTTCCATAGCCTTTCTACCCGTCATTGTTCTATGTCACTGATTTTATTCCGTACTGTCTTCAAGCACCCATACAACTGCTACTTTTCTGTTGAGTTGTGGTGAAGCTTCCAATCTTCAAAGGCTTTCCACTTACACTTCAATAGTATTTCTGTATCTCTTGATCAGTTTTGAGAAATCAGCCATGTTTTCATGAGAGGTATCTTGATAGATACTTAACATAATGGACTTAAGGGTCAAGCAAACGTTGGATTCATTACAGATCCTGGTGACTGGAGATTGAGAGTTTGGCAGTGAACTAATTGATAAGGACTGCCTTGGTGGGTTCTTTGAAGTCTTCCATTTTAATTTATTTTGCAGGATCGCTACTATTTTGCAGGTTTGCTTCTGTTGAAGAAATCTGTTTCTCACCCAAAATATTGAACTATGAGGTGTTTTTACAAGTACTCCGCCCATTAACTATTAAACTCAAGGTTAAAGAATTATTTACAGATTGCCCCAAAATGTTAGTCTGTAATGAAAGTCGCTTTACATAGCTGTTGGCTTTCTTCCTGGATCAGTTACAGACATTGGATTTTTGTTTTCTTGCGGCAGTCGCATAAATTTTGAATGCTCCTTCAGGAACCATCCATTTGTACTAATGAGGTCCTCAAATGGATTTTCAACTCAAAGTTTGAAGGATTTCAGAGAAGGGGAGAGAGCAAAAGCTGTTGCTGCTGAGATGAGTTTAGTTCATAATCAGTTCCATTCCAATAACTTTATTACATTCACAGACTGAACCATATGACCTCAAATTATTCCACAATGGGTGGGCTGAATTTTCCCAATTTGCTTTCGTTTTTATTGAGTGAAGTTCATGGTACCCAGTTTGTCATGACTTTCAGTTACTTTTCTCATGCAGTCTTTTATTCTTCACTTCATTAATTGTGCATCTGGTCCATATAGCGCCTTCCTCATGGTATTGAGTGGCAGGAGGGGTGGAAATGCTTACTGTTCCCAGGACCTTCCACTTTTATACTGCTGGTGCCGTGACTTAAAATCCAGCTGCACTCTGCTTCAGATACTGCAAGTCATCTTCACAGTGTGTGGTGCTGCATCATTAGTACAAGTAACATGGCCCAGAGAGACAGATTGGCTTCCTATTTTGCCTGCAGAGAACTGGAGCTGGTGGTGGAAAAGAGGGCAGTGCTTTATATGTGGTCACAGGAAACCATGCCAGCTGATCCAGCCAGTCTGCACCCAAATAGTGACCCAGCTCAGTGTAGTGTATAGATTAAAAAAAAATGCATAATGCAAAAGGAAGATCTAAAGGTCCACCTCTGACTCTGACACTGCTTAAATTCTCAACAAAGCTCCGACTACAAAGCTAACCATTGTATGCAACTTGTCTACTCAGTCTACTGAGGACAAATCAGTTTATGGTCAGCTGTACTGCCAGGATCTAGATAGAAGACGCTCTGCAATCCTTTGTTTTCCCTTATGAATTCTCCCATTTCAGACTAAGGAGCATTAATTTGTTTGCTTAACTGTTTTTTTTACATAGTTAGAAAATTCTTACCTCCGGTTTTTAGTTGTTTCTGTGGTCAGGAATGTGACATTGGTGCCAGGTCACTGGGCAGCTGCAGGACATTGTGAAATGGGAGGGAGAACAACCAGAGATCCTGATCCATATCAGTTCTCAAGATGTAGCTTAAAAAAAAGAGATGCAAGCAGAATATAGGAAGTTAGGAAATAAACTTCAAACATCACATCTTCAAAGGTAGTAAACTCGGTATTACTCCCAGTGCTAGCAAGGTGACGAATAATAGAATTGACCAAATTGATGCTGAACGGAGAAGATGTAGTTGGGAAGGATTTAGATTCTTGAGGCATTGGGACCTATTGCGGGAAGATGGCACCTGTTCAAGCTGGATAGGTTAGACTTCAAAAGGACCAGGACTGATATCTTCAGAGGGGTGTTCACTAGTCCTGGAGGGAAGGATCAACCTGAGTGGCACAGGGATAGCGACCTCAGCTGGGAGGTTAAAATGAAAGAAACTAAAATTGAAAGTAAAAATAAAAGAAAAAGAAGAAATAGGAGATTAAATATGTACCTGGAATCTTGCCCTGTTTCTTATACTTTAAACACTTGTAACCCAGGTAAACACCACTTTTTACTTAGAAATACATACCTGCTCTAAGTTGCCAAGGTCACCACTCGTCCCATGTTGGCTCCCAGTCCCACTTGCTGAGTTTGCTTTCCCTGTGATATCACTCTTAAATATTTTCAAAGCCCACTCCTCTCGTGCAGCTTTTCTACTTTTGATGTCCTCTAGGCTGTTTTGCAATGATGCCACAGTTATGATTTTCTCTGTCTCTCAAACCTGAAAATCTTTGCCCTGCACTCTGCAGGTCTGAGCTCTCTGCTGCCTCCCAGGACCGCCCCTCCCCCTGCCCTGAGCGTGAACTCTGTGCCAGCCCTGTAATATGGCTGGGTCTGAATTCTGCAACCTCCTTCCCCCCTAAAAAAACAAAAAAGTGCTGAGTCTGAACTCTGTCATCTGTGGACTTGCACCTTTTCTAACTTCTCATGCTGTTTTAAGCCTCTCCACATGTACGTTCATTCCGCAATCTTCAGCATGCTCTTACACTTTAAGCCTCCCTGCTTGTGTTGTTTCTGAGATCTGTTACACTCTTCTGCTGTTTTAAGTCTTTCGAATCTTGCAGAAGCTATTTAATGAGCTATTTAGACTGGAGTTTGGTACATTCCAGGAGCAGAGCCGTATAGCCCATGATTTGGCTGACGCTGTTCAAAATTTGTTTTAAACACAAGAAAACATTACTATTTTTCATTTGATAAACAAAAAGTATAATTTAAAAGGCATGCTGTTGAATATTTTAACATTTGTATCTTTTGTTTGCCTTACCACACCCACCTTCTCCCAAAACTGTAAGAGTCTCAGATGATCCAGTTTTAGTTCACCTTTCTAGCATTGATCCTAGAACCGCTATTGGTAGAGAAATATTAGTCATTCAGTACACACTGAACTGACCAGAATAATCATTTATTAAAGTATTTTTGTCATTTATCATATTGAAGACTCAGCTGCCTGCAAGGCATAAAGCGCATTATGTTTGACACATGAACAGTATTTTCTGTTGCATCAAGACATTAGGCAAGTGCTCTGCTTTTTTTTTTAATGAGTTTGGGATTTTTGGATAGGTAGGGCCTGGATTTAAAGCGTAGCAGCATGCATTTGTAAGGTATGTTTAATGTTGTAAATTATCCCAAGGTACTTCATATTAATCGTGTGGAAACAATTTGGCACAAAACCACAAAGAGATATTAGGGCAGGTGATCAAAAACAAAGGTATAGGTTTTAAGGAGAATATTAAAAACAGATAAGGAAGTGTTGAGGTGTAGGAAGGTAATTCTGGAGCCTTAAGACTTCAGCAGCCAAAGGCATTGTCACTAATTATGAAAAGATTTAAATGAACAGTTTCAGATGGTTCCAGGCTTCGGAAATTGGTGTCCCCATTCAACAACTCCCATCTATGCTGAAATAATGAGTGGCCATCAGAAAATCCGGGCCAGTGAATTCTCTGCATTTTTGCTTCACAGCTTAATACATTCAGCAGAATGAAAGGCTGCTGATTTAAAGATTTTAATGTGTTGCTTTTCAAGTGCAATTCATACAACTGTATGTTAAATGTGTTGTGTTTAATTCCAGGAATAAAGACTGCATTGATATTTTTGAAATTTGGAGCACAATGGAGAACTGTTCACTGGATTCTGAAGGAGAGGATGAGGTACAGAAACAAATCAAAAGGCTCCTTCTAAATTACATAGTTAGCTTAATTGATTTGGATTTATTCTGTTAACATAGTGTTTTACAATGTGCAGTACTTTTATGAATAACTTGCTGTATTTAAACCTAAATGTTACCTGCTTTTAGGAAAATGACGAGACAGTGAATGCTGCTGTTGCAGGAACATCTACCACTAGAAGAGTGAGTAGCATAAATATTTTCCTAGCTAACATACTGTATAATTATTAGTCTTGGAGTAGGTTTTGCTATGCTTGGCTTTCACAGTGGGTCCAGTTCAAAGTCCCACTTGAGTATTTTGTGGGCCTGCCAATAGTACACAAAATTTGATACTTTTCAATGTGCCAATAAGTGGACTGCTCTGTGGTAATACGATTATGACAGCAAAGGTTGCAGTTGTCACTTCGGCATTGCATTACAATCCATATTACTAAGCAGTGAAAGTTAATGGTGAACAAAGCAGGCAGAAAGAAAATGGCAACTGAAAAACAAACACAAATTATAACAAGGTGTAGAGCTGGATGAACACAGCAGGCCAAGCTGCATCAGAGGAGCAGGAAGGCTGACGTTTCGGGCCTAGACCCTTCTTCAGAAATGAAGTGCCTGCCACCATTGGCCATGTGGCCACTGTCGGAGCAACCACGGAACTACAGTCCACAAATTATAACAGTTCTCTTCACTATGTTTATAATTCAAGAACAAAGTTTTTTTTCCCCCAAGTTTAAAGTATTTAATGTTTAACATAAGACTAATTTTCCTTCCAATTGTTTATATACTTGTTCACAAAGGCTTTATGAGCATCCATCAGTGAATTTTTTTCCCCTCAAACTTTGAAAGATGCTCTGCTGTTTCCGGTGAGTTTAAATTGAATCCATTAGTGATTATTTTGGAATACGGAGTCTTTTGCATGATCCAACTAGACCATAGCTCATTAACAATTTTGTTTAAGGCTAATGTCAAGTCTGAAATTTCCATCTTTGAAGTTGCTATATATGTTGAAGTTATTTTTTTTTTCTATTTTCTTCTCACATGAAGAGCCGTGTTGGGCATGCATTTGGCCGGAATCTGAGCTATGATGTCAGCACTTGGAAAACTCAGTGCAGGGAACTGCTGGAGATCCTGTTTCAATGTGAAGACTCTGAACCTTTCAGGAATCCTGTGGACCTCACTGAATACCCAGTGAGTTAATTCACACTATTTTGCAAGGAAATTAATTAAAGCATTTCAATTTCATTTCATGACAAACGTAGTAAATGTCTTAGGGATGATTTTTTTTTGAGGACATCGTTTATGTAAAAAAACATCACTGATGCATCAGCGCAGATGCTGGTGTGCTTTACTTGTGACCAAAGAAGAGTATGTTTGAGTATGAGGAAAGCCTAATGTTCTGACCTTGTACTATATAAGTGAAATTCTTGAGCTTTGCAGTGATTCTTGTCTGGTGAGGCCAAAATGCTTTCTTTTAACCTGTTAATTTAATGTAAATATTCTGGTATAAGATGATTTTTTTAAAAATTGCACGCATTCTGTAGAGTATTCCCTTTTATTGTCAAATGAATTCTTGGAATCTTCCAAAACAATTATTAACTGACAGATTTGCCAATTTTGGTAAAATTTTAGTTTAAAAAATTGGTCAAAATTTTCATTGATTTATTTCTCTTCATGCCTTTCAGCTAGAGATGACAGTCAGTAGTATTTTCTCATTCTTTCCAAAATAGGTAAGGGTAATAAAAAATAAAATATGAAAACCTAGAAAAAGTGTAGTGAACTAAAAGCAAGTTAAAGTTTTCTTTTGGAAAGAAAAGTGATTTCTTTAACAATTAAAGCAGAAAAGATCAGTCACTCTTCCCTACCTGACAGATTTTTTTGAAGCAATTTTTTTTTGATGAAAATGTAAATGAAATGTTAAAAGTACTTTTGAAAATCAGTTTTGAAAGGATGTTAGACTAAGATGTTACCTTTTTAGGCCTCCTACCTGCCCTTGCCTCTGACTTCTTTTGACACCCTCTCCCCTCCACAAGAAGAAGGGAAAAAACTTGCTTACTCTCCACTGGAGAACCAACCCCAAAAATGGTAGGCTGCAACTGATGGACTTTAAGTCACAGAAGCTGCCAGACTCTGGCAGTGCCTCTGGCAATGCATTCACCAGTATTGAGATTTGTGATAAGGCAAAATACTCAGCTTTGCTTGCCTGTCACCTCTTAAGAACTGGATTGTCATGCATTCAGGTGAATTACCTCTACGGTGGGGATGGTATGTTCATTGCCGAAATGAATCAACTTTAAGCAAGTCACGTTTTCTCGTTAAAACCAATGCAAACGCTATAGCTGCATTCTCTAGGACTTTCTTTATTTGAACACGTGCATGTTGAAATACTGGGCTTAGCTAAATTCAGACATTGGAAAAGCTTTTAAAATAAATTTTAATCAATGAATAATGTAACCTATTTACATTACCTCTTGGTCACTGCCTCCCCTACCTCCTGAATTTCATACTTCATGATCTTCCGGGTCACTGCAAATCTTTTTCTCCCCGACTCTCTGACATGTCCTTTCTCTCTCCCTGATCTTCTGACTTGAGCTCTCTGCCCTTTCCCAGCCTCTCCCTATCTCGGACACTGAAATTGTGATTCACGGTCTCTGCCTCCACCAGCTCGCTGAACTTCCTACTCCCTGACTCACCTTGTCTTGAACCTGTGTTCCCGTTTAAAATCTTAATCCAATATTAATACGCTGGGGTTGTAAAAGTGAGAGTCCCAATAGTGCCGAAGTGCCAAGTTGGGCTATTAATGTGTTTTTAAATGTTCCTGTCACTACTCTCTTCTGAATCCTTGCTGTGAATGAGGGGCTCTTTAGATTAATGACAGTAGTAAGAGGAAAGAGTGTCTTTGACAGTCATTTAAAACAAGTGTATCAGCACCATTCAAATCTGCATTTTCACAAGCAAAGAGCTCAGGCAACAGAATGGGCTCTTGGAAAGGGAAGCAGCACAGAGCCAAATAGGAGAACAGGAAGCTCAGTGGGAAGGGTGGGGGGAAAAGGCCTTTCCAGAATTCCCCAATCGTGCTACATGGGGATCAACATAAATGCTCAAAGATAATGTGCCCCACCAAATTATTGTATGGAGCAATTTCTGTTATAAATGTCGTTTTATTTCATCTTGCCACTAGGTTGATATCTGAAACATTGTTTTCTAAACATAAATAATTTTTAAATTTAATTTTAAATAAATGGAATTTATGATGAAAGCCTTCATTGGCATTTTCATGGGTTATTAGAAATTTGGAAAAAGTCATGGCGTTTGTAGATTACTCTTACAGGTTCCAAAGTCACCAAAAGGCATGGAATTTTGTAAAGACAGGGATGAGATTTTTCTGACTTTGTGCAGAATTCCAACTTTTATTTTCTGACTTCCACTTTCACATTGCTTTGAATGTCCGAACATAATACAGGTAAATAGACCATAAGAATCTCTGCCACGCAAGATAATCGTAGAATCGCTAGAGTGCAGAAAGAGGCCATTCAGCCCATCAAGTCTGCACCAGCCCTCTGAAGGGCATCTCACTCAGACTAAACCACTCTGTCCCTGTGATTCCACATGCAGTTTTTGAAATGGCTAACCCTTCTAACCAGCACATCCCTGGACACTAAAGGGTAATTTAGAATGGCCAATCCACCTAATCTGCACATCTATGGCTTGTGGGAGGAAACTGGAGTACTGGAGGAAATCCACGGAAACATGGAAGAATGTACAGACTCCACACAGTTGGTCACCCAAGGTTGAATCGAACCCGAGTCTCTGGCACTGAGGTAGTAGTACCACTGTGCTATCCCAAATTTTGGAGATTAAGAGTATTGGTGAACCTTGCATACAACGCAAGGTTTCAATACTTGTGTAAAACTACAAATTTCCAAATTTGTGAAGTATTTGAAAGAAAAAGTGGTCATGACATGTTTCAGTTTGGTTATGCATATGTTGTAGATTTGAATTTAGAAATGCTGCAAGGGCGCAGCTTCACGGAGAGTGTACATGTTATAAACGAAGAGACACTTTGGCCATTTCATTGTGATTTTAAATCCTAACTTGCTTTTGATGATCTTTGGTCATTTGTAGGATTACAGGGATATTATACACACTCCAATGGACCTGGCAACTATAAAAAATGCATTAGAAATGGAAAATTATGAAAGTCCCATTGAACTTTGCAAAGATGTGCGACTAATCTTCAGCAACGCTAAAGCTTATTCTCCAAACAAGAAATCTAAGGTAATCTGAATAGGTCACTTTTAAAGTAATAAATCATAAGAACATTTCATACTTTTTTGGAAATGTGTTAACTTGTATGCATTTTGAAGTCAGTGGAAATAAAAATCAGTAATCTCCTTGTCCTCTTATTCACCACCCTCATATCTCCATTACATCTCCGCCTTCTGTCCTTCACTGTCTCCAGCTCTCCCACCTTGATCCTGCCCCTCCTTCCTGCTCTTTGCCCTCCCTGTTACTTTCTTTAGTCTGCTCCTTGTCCCATCACCACCTTGTTTATTCGCCCACTCCACCTATCTAGAGAAGAATTTTAAGATGGGGCTCATTAAATTCAACAAAGTGAAGAAAATTATACAGAAAATCTCTTCCTGTTAATTTCAAATGGATTTTGTGGTGACTTACAATGATCGCATGAGATTGTTACTGCACGATGAATTACATCAGTATATTCTTAACATCAATTTTTTTTTCTAAAAATAAATTAGATCTACAGCATGACTCTGAGGTTGTCGGCATTTTTTGAGGACCAAATTCGAACAATTGTCTCTGATTATAAAACTGCGCTAAAATACAAGAAAAGGAGTCAGCACAAACAGAGATATAAGAAACGTCTACATAGTTCTGATGCTTCCAGATCAAGTAGCAGAGCCTCCAGGTATCTTACTTGCAGGGCGTTGTTTTCTTTAAATGACATTTTTTAAAGCTGCTGCAGGTCATTAAATTGGCCGTAGCAGTGTACTTAGTATGTTTATACCATGGGTAGGGAGAGTTAATGAAGCTGGTTGTGAATTGTCTGTCAGAAAATTTGCAAACTGAGTACTTGGGGAAATTCATTCTTTTTGAAGAGTGGTAGACATAATACTGTCATACCAGCTGCGGTGCACCTCATTAAACCTTCATCTCAGTGGTCTACTTTTTATGTAAACTAGCTTCTTTGAGGAACGTAGGAACATTGAAAATAGGAGTAGGCCACTCGAGCCAACTCCTCCATTCAATGTGATCATGGCTCATCGTCCTACTCAGTACCCCACTCTTGCTTGGTCCCCACACCCTTTGGTCCCTTTAGCCTTAAGAACTGTATCTAACTCCTCTTTGAAATCATTGGTGGATGACATGCGGAGATGAATTAACGAGAAAATTTTCTGTTCAAAAAATGTTTGCAGGATAGTAAAAGAAGAGGGGCATTTCGGTTTAAAGCAGTTAAATGTAATAACAAAACCATAGGCATTATCTGTCTGGCATGGGAGTGTTGAATGTTTCCAGTATAACTGAATGCAAATCTGTGGCCAATGGTTATACAGCCTGGGCATGAAAATTCCACAGTGTCAAATTACTATTATGTGTAGATTGCATAGCCTAGGATGTTTGCTGTAAAGGAGAACTTCAGAAAATATATATTTATATCAATAAAAGCTACATTCTTTAAACTGTTACTTACTGGTACTGTAGTTTGGTTACCATTTATAACTTCAACAAAGTAATTAGCAATCATCATGAGCTTATTTGTGTTTCTGCGATCTTTAGTCCAGACCGAAAACGGAAGCCAGTGAAGTCTCAGGCAAAAGTAGAACATATTTCCAAAATATCTACCTCATTACATTCATCTCAGAACAGCGCAAGTAGTACTGGAGATAGTGCCTGCAGTGATGCTTCTGAGCATTCTTCTACATCAGCCAAAATAAGGGACATGAAGGCTAAAACAACTGTCCTAACCATAAAGAAGGACAGAAAAGAAGATTTGCCCAATGGGTCAGTTGAATCAACAACAGGTGAGCAAACAAACAGAATTTGATTTAGTCTTTTCTATGTTCAAGATGCTGTCTCCATGCGACTTGTTTCATAATAAGTAAATCATTGTATAGTGTAGTTCTGTATCCATTTCTTTACTTTTATATGTCAGGTTTCACAGGCATATGCAAACACTTTCTTTACTTGGCCATCATGAGTTATTGTTATGCAGATATTCACCAGTGGTCTCAAAGAAAGTTGTTGTATGTTGTGCATAATTTAAACTTGAATTCTGAGATACTGCGTTCAGAATATTGATTTATTCATGTGAGTATTTAACCATTCAGGCAATGGGTGATAGGTAGATGATATAATCAGGAAATATTTATTAAGTAACAGTGGTAATACTTAATGGACCAAGGCAACAGCTTTATTAGCTTAATGCAGGTCTTACTTTCTGATTCAGCCAAAGTCACAGGGCAACAAATAACTTAACTTATCTCTTACATCTCTGGTCTTCTGATTAGAGAGCAGACACTTGTCTTCAGTTCAAATTCAGCATGCACTTTGGCCCCGAAATTGGTGCTTATTAAACCTTTCCAAGCTAAACGCATGTGCACGAACAGTGACATTCTTGAACACTCATTAGTCTAAGTGATGCCTGATCTAGACAGTGTATATAAAAATATCAGTGCATTGAAACAGTCAGTGTATTAAAGTGACACCGTGAAATATTTTGTAAATACAGCATGATGAATTCAATACAAAAGTGAAAAAGAACTGAATTGCTGCAAAAACTGATCACAAAACTGTTAGAATACTGCATAAAAACTGAAAGAACTGCAGGTGCTGTAAATCAGGAACAAAAACAAGTTGCTGGAAAAGCTCAGCAGGTCTGGCAGCAGCTGTGAAGAAAAAAAATCAGAGTTAACGTTTCGGGCCCGGTGACCCTTCCCCACAGTTCTGAGGAAGGATCACTAGACCTGAAACGTTAACTCTGATGTTTTTCTTCACAGATGCTGCCAGACCTGCTGAGCTTTGGCAGCAACTTCTGATTTTGTTGCTGTGTTAGAATACTGCAGCTGACTGTGTTGTGAAAAGGAAGTGTGGTTTGATTCCCTTGACAGTTCTGTACTGGGAAAGTACTGTCAGAATGGAAGTATGGGTCTGCGGTTCTGATGAAGCCCTAGTCGGAATCTCCTCTCAGAAATGCAGAGCTCCCTTCTTTCAGTTCCAAAAAAAAAATTTGGGCTGGATTGCCAAGCCTCAGAAAATCAGACTTTTATTTAAGAGGAATAACTTGACATGAGATTAATTGATTAATGCAGTTTGCTTGATTATCACTAAAGTAAAATGAATATTACGATTCACTGGGGTAGCACACTGGAAATTAAACATAGCTATTCCTAGAGTCATCACAAACATTAAAGATTTTAAAATAAGTACTAAAAATTCTCCAATTTACCCAACTTTCAGACTCCACTTGATAAAAAGCAGAGACCGGATTTCTGTATTACAGGAATTACTGCTTATCACGAGTAATTAGGCTCTAGCTACAGGTAAACAGTTATGTCGGTATGTTGCACTACATATTAAAACTCTAATTCCCTTACAAACTTACCCTTACACACAGGTAGATGTATAGACTGGGTGAAAAAAATGGATAGAGGGGAAAGTTTTGTAAGACAGTTCACTAGTCTTCATTCCAGATTCTATGGGGGAATTGGTTCTTGCTAAACTGCAAATTTCTTGCTTTTCAAATGCTCCCACTACTTTGCAAAGGGCTGCTTCACTTGTAACATGTCTGAAACATCAATTAAAAGTCATAGCTCACAGTAACTGCTGAATGAAAAATTAACAGGCTTTCTTATGGGTTTAAAATGAGATTTGACGGCAGAGAAAGATGCTGAGTTCATAAAGATCAACTGCATTTAAGCCTCTCATAATCTTATGCATATCACTCAAATCACTCTTCACCCTTTTTTAAAAATTAATTCATGGGTTGTGGGTGTAGCTGGCAAGACCATCCGCGTTTGCTCTTGAGAATGTGATGGTGACCTGTCTTTTTGAATAGCTACATCCATTTGGCATAGTACACCCATAATGCTGTTAGAGAGGCGGTTCCAGGGTTTTGATTCTAGAATACTGAAGGGTCAGTCATGTATTTTCATGTCAGAACGATGAGTGGCTTGGAAGGAAACTTGCATAAGAACATGAGAACTATGAGCAGGAGTAGGCCATCTGGCCTCTCGAGCCTGCCCTGCCATTTAATAAGATCATGGCTGATCTTTTTGAGACTCAGCTCCACTTACCCGCCCACTCGCCATAACCCTTAATTTCTTGACTGTTCAAAAATTTATCTAGCCTTGCCTTAAAAACATTCAGCGAGGTAGCTTCAACCGCTTCACTGGGCAGGGAATTCCACAGATTCACAACCCTTTGGGTGAAGAAGTTCCTCCTGACCTCAGTCTAGCATCTGCTTCCCTTTATTTTGAGGCGATGCCCTCTAGTCCTAGTTTCACCTGCTAGTGGAAACAACCTCCCTGCCTCCACCTTATCTATTCCCTGCACAATCTTATATGTTTCTATAAGATCTCCCCTCATTCTTCTGAATTCCAATGACTATAATCCCAGTCTACTCAGTCTGTCCTCATAATCCAGCCCTCTCAACTCTGGAATCAACCGAGTGAATCTCCTCTGCACCCCCTCCAGTGCTAATATATCTCTTCTCAAGTAAGGAGACCAGGTGTGGCCTCACTGGGACCCTATACAGCTGCAGCATAACCTCCCTGTTTTTAAACTCCATCTCTCTAGCAATGGCAGACAAAATTCCATTTGCCTTTTTAATTACCTGCTGCACCTGCAATCCTACTTTTAGCGATTCATGCACAAGGATACCCAAGTCCCTCTGCACAGCAGCGTGCTGCAATTTTTTACCATTTAAAACATAGCTGATTTTGCTGTTATTCCTACCAAAATGGATGACCTCACACTTATCAACATTGTACTCCATCTGCCAGACCTTTGCCCACTCACTTAGACTATCTATATCCCTCTGCAGACTTTCAGCGTCTTCTGCACACTTTGCTCTACCACTCACCTTAGTGTCATCTGCAAATTTTGACACATCACACTTAGTCCCCAACTCCAAATCATCTATGTAAATTGTAAACAATTGAGGTCCCAACACTGATCCCTGAGGCACACCACTAGCCACTCACCGCCAACCAGAAAAACACCCATTTACCCCTACTCTTTGCTTCCTACTGGTCAACCAATCCTCTATCCATGCCAATACATTACCTGTAATACCGTGCAACTTTATCTTATGTAGCAGCCTTTGGTGTGGCACCTTGTCAAATGCCTTCTGGAAATCCAGATACACCACATCCACAGGTTCCCCATTGTCCACCATGCAAGTAATGTCCTCAAAGAATTCCACCAAATTAGTTAAACATGACCTACCCTTCATGAACCCATGCTGGGTGTTCTCAATGGGACAATTTATATCCAGATGTCTTGCTATTTCATCCTTAATGATAGATTCAAGCATTTTCCCCACTACCGAAGTTAAGCTAACTGGCCTATAGTTACCTGTTTTTTGTCTAGTTCCTTTTTTAAACAGTGGCATCACATTGGCTGTTTTCCAATCTGCGGGAGCCACCCCAGAGTCCAGTGAATTTTGGTCAATAATTACTAGTGCATTTGCTATCTTCCCCCATCACCTCTTTTAGTACCCTGCGATGCATTTCATCAGGGCCAGGAGACTTGTCTACCTTTAGTCCCATTAGCTTGCCCAGCACTGTCTCCTTAGTGAAAATAGTTTCTAGGTCCTCACCTGCTATAACCTTCTTGCCATTAGTTTTCGGCATGTTATTTGTGTCTTCCACTGTGAAGACCGACACGAAATAACTGTTTAATGTCTCGGCTATTTCCTCATTCCCAGTTATTAAATTGGCCTTCTCATCCTCTAAAGGACCAATGTTTACCTTCACCACTCTTTTATGATTTACATATTTATAGAAACTTTTGCTGCCTGTTTTTATATTCTGAGCTAGTTTATTTCCTTTATTTCCTTAGACATCCATGGCTGGCGCTCTCTTTTCCTGCAGTTCTTCCTTATCACTGGAGTATACTTTTGAGCACTGTGAAAAATCGTTTTGAAAGTCCTCCACTGTTCTTCAATTGACCCACCATAAAGTTTTTGCTCCCATTCTACCTTAGCTAACTCCTTTCTCATTCCTTCATAGTCTCCTTTGTTTAAGCACAGGACATAGGTACTGGATTTAACCTTCTCACGCTCCATCTGTATTTTAAATTCCTCCATACTGTGATCGCTCCTTCCGAGAGGATCCCTAACTGTGAGATCATTAATTATTCCTGTCTCATTACAGAGGACTAGATCTAGGATAGCTTGTTCCCTCGTAGGTTCCATTACATATTGTTCAAGGAAATTATCGCGGATGCATTCTATGAACCCCTCCTTAAGGCTGCCATGACCGACCTGGTTTGACCAATCGATATGTAGATTAAAATCTCCCATGATAATTGCTGTACCATTTTTACATGCATTAGCTATTTCTATGTTTATTGCCCGCCCCACCACGATGTCATTATTTGGTGGCCTATAGACCACACCTATCAGTGACTTCTTCTCCCTTCTATTCCTAACTTCCATCCAAATGGATGCAACGTTTTGTTCAGTAGAACCTATATCATCTCTCACTACCGCCTTGATATCATCCTTAAAAATCAGAGCAACACCACCTCCCTTGCCTTCCTGTCTGACCTTTTGAACAGTTTGATACCCCTGGATATTTAACTCCCAGTCATGACCATCCTGTTACAGTTGGTGGTCTTTCTATTTATCTGCTGCCCTTTCCATCTAGATGGTAATGTCCATGGGTTAGGAAGATAGTATACAAGAAGCCTTTTTCTGCTTTGTCTCTAGTAGATGGTGCACATTGCTGCTACTGTTGTGGTGGAGGGAGAGAATGCGATGGGCTTATCAAGCAGGCTGCTTTGCTCTGGATGGTGTCAAGCTTCTTGTGTACTGTTGGAGCTGCACTTGTAGGATGCAAATGTTACTTGTCACTTGTTTGTCAACCCGAAGTTGGATGTTGTCCAAGTGTTGCTGCATTTAAACATAGTCTGCTTCACCACTTGAGTTGAGAATAAGGTTGAACATGATGCAGTCATTAGCAAGCATCCCTATTTTTGATGCTGTGATGCAGAAGAGGTCATGGATGAAACAGCTGAAGATAGTTGGGTCTCGGACATTACCTGAGAAATTCTTGCAATAATATCCTGGAGCTGAGATGACAGCCATCCACCAACCCCAGCCACAACCATCCTCCATTGTACTAAATATGACTCCAGCCAGTAAAGAGTTTTCTAGTTCTGGCAACATGCTTGCAATCCAGCATGTTTCTGCCGATTTTTCTTTTTCCTGGTCAGCACAAGCTAAGAATTCTGAGCAATTGCATAGTTTCTAACTGTCTCCGAGTTGGGCTGTGTGAATTTAACAGGCTTTGTGGTATTTAAATCATCAGATCTCAACGTGCTACCAATGTACTTCTAACAAAACAAATCAAGTTTACTGCACACAAAAGGGAAAAAACACAAATCGTTTGAAGTAGTCTTCATACAAATATCAGAAATAAAACTTCAGCACTTTTACCCTCAACAATCTTACAGCTACTCAAACCTCTGGGATTATCCTGTTTCCATTTTAAAGTTCCTTGGTGAGTTGGTGCAACTGTACTTGGTTTCTTGTTGGCAAACACTTACACTTAGTCAATGTTATCATCCTTAGTTAATGATCCCTTGAAGGTTTGAAACATCAGGACTGGAAGTTGAGTTCAAAAAAAAGTGAACTGATACTCAGAACTACTGATTAGCCTTATTAAAATTATCTTTGAGATAATTTCCCTAGTGTCTAACAATTTGAGTGAAGATGCAGTATTTAGGATTCAGAGTAAATTTTTAAATGTAAGAAGAGTTCAACCAAATTAGCAAGTTTTGCAAGACTAAGATTGTAATAAAAGAGCTCTCTTTCTATCATGTGTTTCTTAGCATCAGACGGTGGAGACTGCAGTGAAAGTTCTGCCGAAGAGAATGAAAGTACCATTAAGTCTTGGGCTGAGCCTGTGGCAGGCAGCAGTAGAACAGCAAGAAAGCATGTATCACCAAATAAAAAAACAGGTGAGCATGATTGTTTTCTTTGTAACAAGCATTAGTTATGCAATTTATTGGTTTAGATGCACCTTGAAAAGTATCTCTGAAGTTTTTGCTTTCATTTTGACATTTTGTTTGCATAATAGTTCAGCAGTCCCAGCAACTTTAATTTGGGACAAAATCTGATTATTTCATTGCTGTGTGCCATGGATTACTATTTGGTGCACTCTGCTTGTTACTGAAGTTTATTTGTGTTTCAGTTTTTTTGGGGGGGTGTGTGTGGGGATGAGGTTATTATATGTTGAATATTATGATTTTAGCTGGTGATAATATTGGACAAATCAGATCCCAAAGTGAAACCGCAGAGTCAAAGTTCTTTTTCAGCAGTTTTTATTGTAATGGTCAGTCACTGAACATACGCAGAAGATGTACCAAAAAAAAAATCAGTCTACACCAAGAGAAAAAGCATAACTGATCTAAAGCAGTCTTGCAAATATCAGAAGTAAAGATTCAGCACTCTTACCCTCAACAATCATACAGATACTTAAACATCGTCATTGTGTTTCCACTTTAAAGTTTATTGATCAGTTGGCACAATACTGTCTAAAAGTTAGTCTCTCTCTTCATGAGATCTTTAATTGCTAATGCAGCTCACTTAGTCTTTAACATCTGTTTCTTACATTCATGCATTCAACAGCCTTGTAGGATGTCTTACTAACACATTAAAACCTTCTTGTCTGGAGCTTTTCTCATACTAACTTCTAAGTTACTTGCAAAATTTTTTTTTAATCTGCCCTGCCTGTTTTTGAGACTTGGGTATTGCTGAAAAAGACATTTTGTCGAAGCTTTTTGACTTAAACTCATCAGGACATTTTGCAAGAATGGGGTGACACGGTGGCACAGTGGTTAGCACTGCTGCCTCACAGCGCCAGGGACCTGGGTTTGATTCCAGCCTCGGGTGACTGTCTGTGTGGAGTTTGCACATTCTCCCCGTGTCTGCGTGGGTTTTCTCCAGGTGCTCCGGTTTCCTCCCACAGTCCAAAGATGTGCAGGTTAGGCAGATTGGCCATGCTAAATTGCCTGTAGTGTTCAGGGAGGTAGAGGGTGTATATTAGGTGGGTCATAGGGGGATGGATCTGAGTGGGATGCTCTGAGGTTCGGTGTGGACTTTTTGGGCCGAAGGGCCTGTTTCCACGCTGTAGGGATTCTAATTCTAATTCTAATTCTAATTCTAATTTAACTCTGCGCTGATGGGCTTCTTTCTGTGCTGTAAATCTCTACCATACCTCATAGAGGAGAGTGTTGATTGGTTGTCAAGTGGAGGCTAATTAGTAGAGACATTGTCATGGAGAATGCATCTAATAATGCTGATTCATAATTAACAGTCAAGTTTTGTTTAATCTTAAACCAGACAGGTTGACTGTGGTCAGGACATAGTCATTTGCTAGTTCGTTTCTCATGGCAATCAGCTATTTTAATGAGTTGAAGCAAGCAGTGTATGTACATGTGATAGAGTCACAGTGATATACAGCACGGAAGCAGACCCCTTGGTCCAACTCGTCCATGCCAACCAGATATCCTATATAAATCTAGTCCTATTTGCCAACATTCTTTCTGTCTGCAAAGAACAAAGGCCCTGAATGTTAATATATGTAGCTTCCAGTACATCCAAGTATGCATACTATAAGCTCGACTGACTATTCTAAATTGGTTTTCAGCGTAAAACCTCGCACACAGGATTATCCAGGATATATTATCCAATTGCAGAATTACATCTAATGTTAGATACTGTGTTACGGATTTTGCAAGTGCAGGATAGTTGAGAACATACAGTACCTATTTCAGTGTTATATTGAGGGAGGCTGCATGACAGAATTATTTTGATTAAAAAAAATGAATTGTCTTCAGTTTGTAAATATCCCTCTTCTAATTGAAAATTTTTAAAAGGTAAAAGTAATTTTTATTTCCTCTTTCAAATTCAGAAACAAGTGGTACTCAGGTAAATGGAGACAACAGGAAATTGGTCCGTCAGAATATGGCAGCCAAGAAACGCAAGATCTTGAGTGATTCTGAGGAAGAAGACTCTGTTTCTGAGAGGGAGCAGGAGATATTAAGCGCTGTTAAGCGAAGAAAATATGCCTGTGTTTTGGAAGATGATGACTCACTGTCTGAGAACCAACAGCAACATGAGGACGGGGAAGCCCGAAAACACAGCTCTGGTGGCAATACCAGTTCTGGGACTGAAAACCGCTCCCGCTCCAGTTCTCAATCAAAATCTCAATCAAAATCTCAATCAGACTCTGAATCCCAATCCGTTTCTGATTTGGATAGCGATTACAATGTGAACGCTAGGGCAAAAGTGAAATCAAAGATAAAAGTGAAAGCAAAGACACAGGTGAAGAGAGGGAGACCAAGAAAAATTAAAGGGAGAGGAAAAAATAAAGTAGTTACTTCTAAAAAAGTCACCAGTAGGTTAGAATATAAGAAGCAGCAAAAGATCTTGGACAGCGATGATGAAGATGGGGATGATGACGACGATGACTCTGATTATGTAAAACGAGATTGTGTTTGTAGACCATCTGCAATAAGGACCAGAAATCAAGGCAGAAGGACTGTAAGATATGATGATTATGATTCCGATACAGACAGCCTTTTACATAGTGAAATAGCTAGCCGTGGAGTGTCGAGGTCTGGACGGGTACGACGAATACCCATGAGAGTTAGAGACTGAAATGCAGCCATTTATTGGCATTGTACCACTGTGAATTTGTCTTCTCTAAAATTTCAGGGATTATATTTATATTTTTCTGGATTTATTTTTTGGGGAACTGGGGGCGCTGCTGGCCATGCTTTGGACACAAAATCATGATCAATATTGCAACCATTTAGGGATGTGTAGTGACAGCACAGAAAAACTTCCGTAGTACTTAAGGTAACTCTAGCAACGTTCATGGATCATGCTAGAAAAGTGCGTGTAACTTAGTTTTTTTTCTACTATTAAGCACTACAGCTAATGTTATTTATTTTTGCTTCCTTGCATGTATTTTAAGCCAATAGAACAGTGTATCTCTGTCTCACCAGTGATTGAAGCAGTTATTCACGTTTAGGCAATGGATAATGGCAGCAGGAAGAAACACAAGTTTACACCCATCTTCTTTTCATGATTATTTTATTTGTATTGAGCATAAATTCAATCAATGCATTTTGCTTAAAGCTTGTGTATTTTATAATCAGATTAGTCTTCTTTGGAGGGCCACGGTAGAAATGGAGCATATCTTTAGTACAGATAAAAAGACCAGATTTTCTTTACATGTAATGCCTATAACTTTCTTTGTCCTAACATTTAACAAAGGATTGTTTAAATTTGTAGTAAGTTGAATAATCCTGATCCATTATTTTTTTCTGTCATGTCAGCATTCACCACCTGTGTCTGATCAATTTGTTGATTCCTGTGTTTCAGTAAAGGACAAGAACAATGTCCTACTAATAGCTTAATGACCAGAGTTTTTTTCCTTTGCCCATTATTTTAAAAGTGGAAAGGAAAGAGAAAATCAGATTTAACAAAGTACTGACTGGAATTATGCAGATTTTCTTGGAATTGAGAGGTGGTTTGGCATAACGTTAAGGAGTTATATCTTAGAAACTATATGCAAGAAAAATACACAAATTAACATGGGCTGGTTTAACATCAGTTTTACCCCTGTTTTAAATTACTTTCCAATTTACTCTTAGTTAAAGATTTATCAGGTTTGGTTTATTAAATTGGTTCTTGTTAATATCTCAACATCGATCCAATTTTATAACATAAGCCGTCAAATTTAGCAGCATATGGAGTCTTTTAAAATAAAACAGATAATCTGATTGAAAACAATTCCAAATATATTACATTTTTAAGAGGGAGTCAATCTGAGTGAATTAGAAAGTGTGGATTAATTTTAGAGTGCTGTTTTGCTTTGTTAAATCACTTGTGAATATTCCAAAACAACACTTGAAAGTAGAAAATGTTTTTCAAACTGTGGGTCATCAATGTGCTAATGTAGGGTACATTATTTGTTGCATAAATCTACTTCTAAACTGAAGTTAGAATTTTTTCAAGGTTTTTAAAATTTGTTCAGAAGTGCATTCTTCCCACCGTCCATTTCAGAAGATGTGATTCACAGAGTTGCAGTTCCATCTGTCATTTAGTGCCTTGTCCAAGTATCTGTATGCTTGTCAAGGCAGTGAGTATTCATAGACCTATCCAACCAAAGAGTTGAGAAGTAAGATTATTTCACCCAAGCCTGATGTTGACTGTACCCACCATAAGCATATAATTTCTAACAAAAATCAAAGGACAGCATGAAAACATTTCCTGATATTTTTACATTGTGTTCTGGAGACATTGTGGTTAATTAAAGCCCCTCTCCACTAATTAATGGTCAGATTGGTATGAACTGACAGAAAATAACAGAAATCAAACTTGGGGCTTTGGTCTATATTAGGTATCTGATGCCATTGGAGAAGTTACTGCACGTACCTTTAAATTCCAAGCTTCTTACCAACTTCCACAACAAAAAGTTATCTGGAGGAACACAATACATTTTCTATCTCTATCTGCAACAAACCAGTTATGTATAAACATTTTTAGACAGAATCTTCTCTGATAAAGAAGTGTTTAAACATAGTTAGCAATTGCAGATCGCAAAATAAATACTGCAAGGAAAGTAATTACAGGTATTCGCCAGGTTGCATGAAGGATCCTTTCTTGAGTACATTTGTAAGTCAGTGTATACACAAGTCAGAATACAATATAGTACAATTTAAAACAGCCATTCGTAAGTATGAGGAAATGTTCACATGTTGTATCATTGAAATTAATACTAATGCACTCCTGTATGGGATCTCGTTCATAAGTATGAATGTTCATAAGTCAGAAGTTTGTAAATCAGGGCTGCCAATTGCATAGTTTTGTTTGTAATGACAACAGTGCAACATACGAAAATAAATTTCCAAATTGCTAATAGGCATGGGGCCAGATAAAACTTTTCTATCTCTTTATAAGATAATTTGACTGTAAGTTTCTAGCATGTCCCTCAAGTTATAAAGTTGGCTATTGAAACTAGATCAGATGTCTGCCCTCTGTTAATTGTATTATGTTCTAGGAAATCTTGGTATAAATGCTACTGTTTTCAGATTTATTCAAAAGCTCTGAATTGTATTTAGTTTTGTTGCTTTTAAAAAATATGCAAATTAATCTATTCTTTCTTTTACTCCGTTTTGGCCTTTACAAATATTTACACTTAATAGTGTAATTAAACAACTTAACTGTATACGTTTAAGTTTCAAAAGACACAGCAAAGTCCTAATAAAAATTCTGACTCTGCAAAGTTGCTAACATTTTTGGCACAGCAAGACCATTGGCAACCATTCTTTAGAGATGTGATCCTGTTATACCTGGGGCAGTTTATCTACATAGTTTCTCATTTTATGACATGCATTTTTGGATGGGGTGCAGGTATGAGTTAGAGACTGAACAAATGACCTTAATGTTGTTTTTAACGCTGTTCAGTCTTTTAAAAATTGAACTTTATTAAAACAAGTCACAGCCAAGCTTTGCATCTTGTCTTGTGCAGAATGTTTTGAGGTTACCAGTTGATCACCCCAGAGAGGAGACAGTTGAAATATTTGTAAACTTACCTAAGTGAGAGATTGTGATTTTTGACACTCAGCATCCACAGTATTGTCCAATCTGATTTTTTTAAAAAAAACCTGTAACAGTAAGTGACCTTTTAGCTCATCCACAGTGTGGAATTGCATTTATGAAATTGGTGCCTTCAGTTTTGTCTGTGCCTACAATGATACTAGATCATATTTCTAATCTTTGAGGTGTTTGTCCTCAGGAACACATGAAAACCAAATGTTTTACCCTAGCTACCACCCTCTCAGCCCACCTGCCCCCATGCAGCCACCTTGAACGTTGCAGAACATTTGGTCATGGTCAGACCTTGTACATTTAATATCTGCTCCAAAATTGAGGAGTAGTTTTGATGAGGTGGTTATGGTTGTATGCAAAATTGAAGGTGTAACTTTCCCCTCAATGCCTAGACAAGAAACTCAGGATTGGATAAAATTCTAGTTTTACCTCCAGCCGAAAATTCGTCTTCATTATTAATAGTGCACAAAATTGGGATGGTTAAAATTAGTATGATACCCAATCCCATCAGTTTTCAGGTGAACATGTTAAAAATTGGCACTATAATTTATCTTACATTTTTGTTTCCTTGCATTAGCTGAAATTCTAAATCTGTGATTTGTCTTCCACTTAGAATTTTATTGTGACATTCAATAAAAGTGAATATTGTTTAGATGTATGAAAAATGGTGCTAATTCTGTTTGGTGAATTTAGAAAATGTCAGTTTATAGAGTAGCTGCAAAAATATGATTTTAGAACAAAATAGGTTATTGTTGAGTACCTATAAACAGTTTTGATCTCCTTTAATGGAACAATAAACTCAGTGGAGATCCAGGAGGTACTCTGCCTTGTTCCAACTATATTCCAGTGAATGTACAGATGGTAGTTTCAAAACTGGCAAGGTTTCTGAATTAGTCCTTATGCACCTCAACTTTCAGCCCATACTTATTGCAGAAATCTACTTTGTAATCCTTGGATCACAAGCATATAGTATTCTTTTGATTTAATTTATTACCAAGATTTTATTTTATCTTCATTTCCAATAATTAGCTGAGAAGCACAATACGTATGCTGTTCTTGTGTGGCTCATGCTTATGAGACTATCATAGGAGTAGATTATTTGTCAGTACTCAGATATAGTATGCTATGCTCTTCTGGAAAAACTATATCCTTAAAATTGACAACTTTGGGAGGTGACTCACAATGAAATTAACAAGAATTAACTCCTAGTTAAGGATGTTGCTAGAACCATGTACAAATTTGCTGAACATTTTACATAGATACTTGTGACTAACATTTGCCTTCCAAAGCTTCCCACCTCTATCATTCCATAATTCAGTGAGTAAATTTGGGTGTTGTGATTGAGTTATCCTTTTTAATTTTGTATAACATGTAAAACTGGCTTTTAAACACATGAATTGAGTTTAACATTACCACTGCCAGTTGAAAGTTTCTAAGGGGTTTTACTACCTTACATAATCAATCTTGCTGGAAAAATGTCATAACATGAAATATCAATGCATCCCCAGAGGTGAAAAATGCAGTTTGTCAAAAAATTTTATGTTACCATTCGTAGCAAAATTGTGATGATGTACAAGTATTAAGGTGATAGCTTTTCAAGCTACATTTCCAGAGCTTCTGGGCATCCTGCACTGTTACTTACTTATTTTCCTTAATTTTGAGTATCAGCAAGGCTTTTTGACTGGGTTGAGCAAAGCCAAGAGTGATCCTGAACATTTACTTTGTAGTAATATTCCCAATCGCTACAATTATTAGGGCTACTATAGTTCTCAGGTGTACTTGGGCAGTTAGTGTCAGAAGGCTGGCCAACTGGAGGCACTGGCATAGTGAACTTTGGTGAAAAGATAGATTGCGATCTGAAATAAGAGTGCTGACATTTGTCCATTGCCCAGGAATGCTGTGACCAATTGTACAGTAGCCCTCTTTATCACCAGCTAACAGCACAAGAATTGAACTTTTAATTTGTAATAGAAGCATTTGCACAATTTGATCCCATTCTGTTGTACAGCCAAAATTATTCCTTAATGATTCAAAAACAAATGTTGCACACTCACATGCTGCCTTTTCACTATGTAATAAGTTCATGATAACTTGTATATGACAAAATTAGATCTCTTTCTGGCTATGGATTATCAACATTCTCCTTGACTTTTTTTTTTGAACATAATATTAAAATGCATTCACCCAAAAACACATTTAAATTCCTGTAACAATTCCTGTTGTCAGCCAATGAAATAATAGTTGCTGTGACTTAATTTGCTGAATGTGTCACCTGACTTTATTTTAAATCTCAGCATAATGGACTAAAGGGTAAAAAAGAAAGCCAATAAGAGATTCTCACCTATAGTTTGCATTGTAATTTATTTGGACAACCTATCTCTTTTATAAAGAGGTTTATTTTCAGGCAAGATTGGTTTTCCAAGGACTGCCACACAAAACATGAACTTCTATTTATCTTGTAGAGCTATTGTACATTTGCAGCATTTCTGTTTTTGTTTTATATTTAAATATGTATTCAGATTGATCATTACATTGACACAGGAGTGTTAAGACCACTTAATTTGACTGCAAAGCATGTTCTAAAACCATTGAGAGTTATAATGACAACTTTAATTTTAAAAGAATTTCTCAAATCTTAAAGTTAATTACTCAAAATAAGTAATATCCACCTGGATTTTAACACTGTCATTAGTTTAAGTCAAATTTCTTGAAAATAACATTCAATAGAGCAAAATTTTACATACTTGACATCGTAAAACATTTTATACTTGTTAGCTTGATCACAACTTTGTAATACTTTGGAAATAACGATGTTAGTGTCTATGCATTTGAGTTTCCAACTTAGAGTATAATAGAAAATTAATTTTGAAACACTTTTTGCAGAATTAAGTACTATGTATATACAAAGGACTGAATTTTGACTTAATACAGGCTGACAAAGTTTATTGGTTTTGGAATGAATGCCGTGCTTTAATGTTGCAGACACTTCCAGAGGCTTTCCAGTCCTTGAGGTAGTTAACTTGTGAGATACAGCAGCAATGTTCAAAATGATGTGAGTATGCCATCAAGAAGTTTTTGCTTGGGAGAGAGAACACTCCCATAATTTCGGAAGTATGATCCTTGTTGCCAAATTGGAGTGCCTGCTTCCTAATCTGCCTCTAACTTATTTCAGTGGGTAATGTTGAACCTCTAAGGAGGACACTTAATAGTGACTGATCTCGCAGAGAATTGTAAAAGAAAAGCAGCAGAGCATTAACCATGCCTACAGAAGAATACCCCTACCATTATCCTGCAATGGAGTAGCAGAAATGACTTCAGGTATATATCACTCCAAGGATCAGACTCATTTGTGACTGTAGGCAAAAATGGCATGATTCATGGGGTGGGGAAGGTGTAAGAAATATATGGGTTGAAATTATAGAAATAAAATTGTGAAGTTCAAAATAATCTTACAGACCCCATTTAAAAATTAAGAATGTTTATTCCTTTTCCTGGGACATTGCTTTTGCCAAATTGTTTCTATTTTGAGCTCAGGACCATTTATATGTACAAACTGAAGAATCAAATTATTCAGGGAGAAGTGTTTGCCAAAATGGCAAACTTCAGTTTTCTTTGATATGCAAGGAAAAACATTGGCGGTTTATTTTTTTGTCATTTTTCTGGCAGTTTATTGTAAAATGTACATATGTAAAAGTTCAGAAAACTTGCAATTTTTGCATTAGCAGCATAGCATATTGTACAAATTAATGTATGTGGTTGTAATTATGCTATTTTCCAAGTTTTATGTGGAAAACTGATTCTCCTGTGTAAAATTACAAATTTTCTTCTTTAAAAATAAAAGGCATTTTGAAAGTTCTCTCCCTGTGTTCTGATCTCAAGTATCCTATGACCATACTGTGTATTGTATGTAACATTTGAGCCAGGAATGGTATCGAAACATTTGGAAAAACTGGTGAGGGTAAGAAATGTTTGGAGTAATAAATACATATATGATAGCAATAGGGTTTAAAATGAGTATGATGCTAAGGAAAATGCTCATGCCCTTCAGGGACTACCAAACAGGACTACTTGTATGCCAGGCAGCAATACCACAAAGCCAAGCGATCGCACAACAAATCTCTACAAGGAGTTGGCACTTCCACAAATATCCCCATCCTCAATGATGGAAGAGCCCAACCAATCAGTGCAAAATGTAAGGCTGAAACATTCACAGCAATGTTCAGCCAGAAAGGCCAAGTGGATGATCCACCTTGGCCTTGTCCTGTGGTCCCCAGCATCACAGCCATCAGTCTTCAGTCAATTCAATTTACTGTACTTGATATCAAGAAACCACTGGTGGCACAGGATACAGCAAAAGCTATGGGCTCTAGCAACATTCTGACGATAGTACTGAAGGCATGTGCTCTATACTTGCTGCACCCCTAGCCAAACTCTTCCAGTACAATTACAACTTTGGCCTATACCTGACAATGTGGAAAATGGTCCAGGCATGCCCTGTACACAAAGCAGGATAAATTACCTGGCCAATTACCACCTGGTCAGTCAGTCTACTTTTGATTGTCATTAAAGTGATGGAAGGTGTCTTCAGCAGTGCTATCAAGCAGCACCTGATTATCAGCAACCTGCTTGCTGACACCCAATTTGGGTTCCACCAGGGCTGCTCAGCTCATGACCTCATTATAGCCATGGTTCATACATGGGCACAAGAGCTGTATTTCAGAGGTGAAGTGAAAGTGACTGCCCTGGTTGCATTTGACTGATTGGCATCAAGAAACCCTATCAAAACTGGAATCAATGTGTATTAGAGGGCAAACTCTGCTTTTTGGAGTCATAACCTGGCACATAGGAAGATGTGGTTGTTGGTGGTCGGTCATCTCAACGCCAGGACACCTTTGCAGGAATTCTTCAGGGAGTGTCCTAGGGTCGATTATCTTCAGCTGCTTATCAGTGGCCTTCCATCCAACATAAGTTCAGAAATGGGGATGTTCTTCGATGATTACACAATATTCAGTAGCATTCATGACTCACCTGATATTGAAGGATTCCATATTCAAATGGAATAAGACATAGGCTACCCAGGCTTGGTCTGATGACTGGCAAGAAACGTTTGTACCACACAAAGGCCGGGAAATGACCATTTCCAATAAGAGATTACCAAACCACCATCCCTTGACATTCAATAGTATAACCATTGCCATATTCCCTGCTTTCAATATCTGGGAACTTACCATTAACCAAAAACTCAACTGGACTTGACATGTAAGTACAGTTGATACAAGAGCAGATCAGAAGCTAGGAATACTGCACTGAGTAATTCACCACCTGACTTCCCCAAGCCTGTCAACCATTCACAAGGCAGAAGTCGGGATGGAATACCCCCTCCTTACCTGGATGAGTGCAGCCCCAACAACATCCGAGAAGCTTGACACCACCCAGGACAAAGCAGCCCTCTTGATTGGCACCACATCCACAAACACACTCCCTCCACCACAGGAGCTAGGTTGTAGCAGGGTGTACTATCTACAAGATGCACTGAAGAAATTCACCAGACCCTTAACCCCTTTAAAACACACTATCAATTCCATCCAGAAAGTCAAAAGCAGCAGATACAGGCAGCATCACCACCTGTAATTTCCCCTCCAGCCTCTCACCTCCTTGATTTGGGAACTTTATCACCATTCTTTCACTGTTGCTGGGTCAAAATTCTAGAATTCCCTCACTAAAGGTCTACCTGCAGCAGTTCAAGAAATCAACTTCCCACCAACTTCTCTGGCAACTGGAGATGGGCAATAAATGCTGGCCAGCTAGTCACACCCACAAGAAAATAAAAAGAACTTAAGTCTGAATTTAGTATGCAATATCCGGAGCTAATTGATGAGTGTCACGATTTTAGCTTGTGCTAAACCAGAAAACTTTTGTGAAGCAGGACGTTTGTGCTCTAATGTAAGCAGGTAGAGTTATTTGGCTCATACCCAAAAGCTCATTGAAGGATGGATCAGGAAGTTTCTGACCTATAAGAAGATTGAAGGTGTCTTCGCTTTCCTGTCCTTCCCTGCTGCACGTGCTGGACTTATTGTCTCTCTCTTTCTCACACAGATCAAAGTACCTTCGAACAAGCATTCCCCATAATCTGGGAAACTCATGTAAGTTGATACAGCGGAGTATTTTGGTCTTAGCTGAATTTCTTAAAAAATTCCAAAACAAATGTTTTCCCAGTAAATTTTGGAGGCATATCTTCACAACTCCAGCAGCAATAACCATAAAACAGTTCATGTTCCTTTCCTGTAGTACTTGGTGTTGTCAGAATGTTTCAAGCTGTTGACCAGCTTTTGCTTGTATTCTAAGCTGGCATGTAGTTACTTACACTCTATCCCACATGGATAGCAAGACTCTGCCAACTGACCTGTCTGCCACAATCTTCTTTGCTCCATCCCCCTCTTGAATGTTCTGCTTAAATGCACTTCACCAGTATTCCTTTGGAAGGTCCCATCCTCTCTTTCCATCTTGCGATGTCAATTCTACTTTCACTTTGTTGGGACTTATGTCCATGAGGCATAACTGTCTCTCAGGCACTTTTTAACCAACAAACGGCGTGTACACTTGAGTATTTTTGAGACTATTCATTATTAACATCTACACAATGATTTAATGTGCCTTCTCTGCACTGAGCCACAGCAGAGGTGTCCCTGATTATAGAACCTAGTCCTTCACCCAAAATAAAACTCTGCAGCTTAAAATGCCACTTTTTCCTTGCAGCCTTAGAGATGAAAACTGTTACAAATTGTGCTGAGGTTAACCATTTAATCCTAATGAAAGATGGCCTGTTTGAAATATAACTACCGATGTGACATCTGGTATGGAACATTAGTTTTGCAGGATATAGTTTCAGTAGGATGCTCATTAATTTCGGTTTTTGGTGATATTGTTTGAAGATGAATTTTGACCAGGAGAGAACGACGTTGGTTGAAGATGAACTTTGACCAGGAGAACTCCCAACCTCCTTTTCAATAGTGCTGTTTTTATTATCTCCAATTCAAAAAACAGGAAAGGACTTGGTTTAGCATTTCATCTGAAAAGTCAGACCTCTGGTTGTGCTGCACTCCTATTAGAACTGCACTGAAGCATTATGCTAGAGTATCTAAGCAATCTAAAGAATATTCTAAAGAATTTTAACTATGCTATGGCAATCTTTTAAATGGGGAAATGGGTTGCTGTATTTACACCTGTCGTGGTGTATATGGTGGTATACATGAGTGAATTGAGTGTGATTTGTATTCTTTAATGAATCACACCCCATACAAGGGGGCCATCTGGCTGCTCATGTCTCTATTATATCTTTGAAAGTGTTACCCAGTTAGTCCCACTACCCCCTCCTTTCCATCGGCCTACAGATCTTTCATTTTCAGGTATGTATTCTATTTGCTTTTAAAAGTTACTGTCAAATCTTCTGCTCTTTCCAAGCAATTCACTCCAGATCATCATAACTTGCTGTTTAACAGAAAACCTTCTCACACCCTGGCTCACTTACTGATTATTCTTTATTTGTTCATGAGATGTGGGCATTGCTGTAGATTCACTTCACCATGCTGAGAGGGAGGGAGATCCAGTATTTTGCTCCAGAAATAATGAAAGGCAGTATAAGACCAAGTCATGAATTGATCGTGACTCAAAGCGAAACTTAAATATGGGATTCTCAAGGACCTGATGTCTTTGTCCTTCCATGCGACAGAGATTGCAGGTTTGGACTGTGCCTTTTAGATTGGGAAAAATCTGATGACAATAAGGCTGCCTTCCCAGCAACACCCACTCTCATGAACAAATAAAGGGTAATCTCAGTGGTGCCTGAAGGTGATCACTCCCTCAAGACAAATGAAGGATAGGCAACAAATGCTGGCTGAGCCAGTAACACTCATGTCCCATGAATGATTATTTTTAAAACCTAGATTATTAATGTACTTCATTAAGAAAAGTGACCGTAATTCTGGGAGATCTAACTCCACCCTTCTGTCCAAACTGATAAAACGGTTCTCCATAATTATATAGAAAATAACAGCAGGCGTAGGCCATTCAGCCCCTTGAGCTTACTCTGCCATTAAATGTGATTAAGACTGATCCTCGATCTTTAAGCTTTACTCCTGCTCTCTCCCCATAACTCTTGATACTTAGATTGAAAAGTTTTTTTGGAAGTATATTCTTTGAAATTGCCTCCACAGCCTCCTGAGGTAGAGGATTCCACAGGTTCACCACTCTAAATGAACAACTGTCGCCTTTCTCTCAGTCCAAAGTGGCCTCCTCTGTATGCAGCAACCCTGACCTCTTGCTATGTATCTTTCAGTCAGAGGAAATATCATCCCTGCATCTAGTCTGTCCAGCCTGTCAGAATTTAATACTTTTCAATGAGATCCCCTCTCCATTCCTAACCACCAAATCATACAAGCCCTGTCAACCTAATCTCTCCTCATAGGACAACCTACCATTTAAGAAATCGGCTTGGTGAACCCTTGTTGCACTTGTTCTGTGGCTAATAAAATTTTTAACTAATGAGACAAAAACAGTGGACTCTATTCCAGGCTTAGTTTCATTAAGGTCCCATAGAGCTGCAGTAAGTCTTCAATGCTGTTGTACTCAAACGCTGTTGTAATGAAGGTGAACATTGCCGCCTTAACTGCTCCCTGCACCTACATTATTCCTTTCAATAACGAGGGTGCAAGGACACACAGGTCCCTTTGTACATGAACATGTCTCAGCCTATTACTATTTAAATAATACTGTCTATTTTTCCCATTATTGCGGACAACTTGACACTTAGCTATGTTATATTATATCTACCACGCATTTGCC